CCACGTTGTACGTCGGCCGAGGACACATGCCGGGCTCAGGGTGGGGGCAGGCGGTCTGGCAGAGGCACCCAGAGGGGTGTACCCCCACCCCAGCACCCCTTGCCATGCTCACTTGCTCACCAGAGGCCAAGTGTGGGATGGGCAGGGACCCTGTGCACCCAGTATGTGTGTTCCTGGGGTGCTTCTGTGCCAGTAGCCCCATGGGCATCACCTCGGCCCCGCGCCCAGCATGGCCGGGATTTACCTTGGAGAGAGCCACGTAGGGGAAAGCATCTAGGGCGAGGGGGGTCTCAGGGCCCAGTTTCCCTTGCTCCTGACCCTTTAGGATGCGTGTGGCTGTGATGCTGGGGATCCCAAATCCTGGTTGAGAAAAGAGGGTCCTGGTCACCTTCTGGACTAGGTGTTCCCTCCACATGCCCCTCCATGCAGCACTGGCCCTGCCAGCCTGCCCAGCGGGACTCACCATCCCCGAGGAAGAGGATGAGGTTTTTGGCTTTGCTTATCCTGGGCTTGATATTGTAGGCGGCTTCGATGGCTGCAGCTGCCTGCTTGTTCCAGAAGGATGGATTCTCCTCCTCCACTGGGACAGGGCAGCATCCGTGAGTGCCAGCCCACCACCCCTCACCCCTGGGACACCCACAGCCCTGGGTACTCACTCCCTGGGCATCCCCATGTCAAGGTCTCCTCTAACATGGATCGAGTGGGTCAGGGTGCTTTTTAGGGTGGAGGGAGACCATGTGGGCTCGCACCCACTGCCAGGGCCAGGGGTCTTGGGGCAGGGAAGGAGTGGGGCAGCAAAAATGGACGCAATGGGGATTTATCTGGCAGGTGGGATGGGGCCAAACCCATAGTGAGGGGATGTGAAGGTTAGAGGTACTTTCCCCAGACCCCCCAGCCCAGAAACAAGCAGGAACCTGATCCCACAGGGGAAAAATGGCTCAGGGACCCCAGAAAACTAGGGGTCCTGTTTAACCCTTGCAGATCTAGGCAGCCCCATCTCACCTCCCCAGACCCTCCCTGTGGTTATCCAGCCTGGTGCCCTGCCGGGTGCCTCACTTCCCCAGGCACCCACTGCAGCCAGCCGGGCACCTGTCCCCATCCTTGTCCCCACCTGGGATGACAGCAGTGCTGAGCCCTGCCCAGAAGCCCAGGCAGAGAGTCAGCGACGCCAGGAGCTTCATGGTGAGATCCGGTAGCCCAAAGCTGTCGGCACAGTGTCTGCAACTCCAGCAGATATAGGGAGGGACTTCGGACCAGGCAGGACCAGCCCTTGCAGGGTACGTGGAGGGGTTTGTCACACTTCTGATAGCTTAGTGTCCTGCCAGGAAGCTGGCACAAAGGCCACGGGGCTGGGCTGCTGCTGCCACCTTGGAAAACCGATTTATTGCTACCGGGGGATGGATGGACTTTGGGTGCAAACAGAGGCAGGGGATAAGAGGATGGGCAGTGCCTGGCAGGCATCATGGCCTGCACTGGGCACAGTGCTGCGGTGCCAGGCAGGGGGATGCCCTGGCCCAGGGTGTCACAGACAGCGCTGAGCGTCAGCCCTGGGGCAACAGGGCTGTCAGGAGCACTTGGGGTCACTTGTGCACTGCACAGCCCTGACTAAAACTCGGCTCCTTGTTCAACCCTTGTCAGGAAGGTCCCACCCCTTGAGTACCACGCCTGGCAAAGCTGGGTGGGGGGTACATGGCCTCCCTTAACCTTCATTTCATCACCTGCTTGACCCCAGTGCCTCCAGTGCTACTCCCAGGGAGGGGACAGGGAGCCACGACCACCTGGTGAAACTGAGGCACAGGGCAGTGCTTTAGGAGGCAACCACAGCTGCAAACCCTTGCACGACAGGTGGAGACACACAAGTGCTTTATTGCATTCCCTTAATCCCGGCCACAATGAGGGCGCAGATGTTAAGACTCTGTGGGGTGTCTCGGGGAGGTGTCCGGTGGCATGAGTTGAAGCCGGGCTCGGACAGGGGCTCTCAGCCCCCCACCAAGTGGGCAGCCACGCAGAGGGTCAGGAGAGTGAGCATGGGCTGTGGGAAGCACTGGGTGCCATGGGAGGCCATGCGAGCTGTCCTGCACCCGGGCTCGGCGGCATAGGGCTCGAGGCAGGCGGCATAGGCCATGGCATGGGCGATGTAGTGCTGCTCCTGCACCCCGTGGAAGAGGTGGCTCATGGGGCCCTGGGCCAGCACCACCACGTCCTCCCCACTGTGGGTCTCTGTCTCCAGGGGCACGGCTGCCTGCTGCCTGTAGTCCTTGTCCTCTGCAAGGCAGGTCAGGAGAAATGGGGCTGGGGGCTCCCCTACACATTGCAGGATAGGGGGGCAGCTCCCATCACTCCAGTGCTGGCGTGATTCCCGCCCAAGTAACCTCAATCCTGCACCGGGACCCCCCAGGACCGTGCCTGTGAGATGCTGCCCCCAGCATCCCTGTGCCCCGCCCCATCCCCAGCAGGCTCCT